GAAATTCTAAGAAAGCACTTTATGACGCTCTGAAGCTTCTTGCCTGAAACCAACACAAAATTTGAATTTGTCAGCGTCTGTCTTCACACACACGCACAACTGATGTCCACAGACAAACGCAGAGGTCGCACCTTGACCTGCTTTCACCAAGCAGCTGCATCCTTGTCCCTTTGTGCGTTTGCGGCGAGTTAGATGCCGCCTTCGCTGAGCACATGATGACAGGAATTCCTTCCTGTTCAGACCTTGAGGTAATCCTAATACAGGAACGAAGAATGGCAGGGAAAACAAAACCCTGCCTGCTAAATGAATGGCCGGCCGCCTCACCACCTCTCACAGCAAACAGCAGCGAGCCTCGACTAACAAGCCTTTCCACAAATGCATTTAAAGCCTCAGGCACGGCTCACCTCTCCTCAGATTTCCCTATTGTAATATTTCCGTAGTATTGTCCAAACCTGGGAAAAAACCCCTTTTTTACAAATATTAGTCAGAGGTGTGGATGAATACTGCTCGAGTGGACTTAGTAAGGGATAAATAAATGCTGTTTTGGGGTTTAACCTGTTAAGTACATCTTAATTTAGCTAGAGGGAGATGTATCCAGACGATGCGGCTAACACTAAATTTTTGTTATTATCACCACATCTGCACAAGCTAAATGAAAAGATAACAATAACGCTTTTCATCAAGTGTTTTCTTTTTTTTTGCGTATTTCTTATTGTGTGTTTTATCTTTGTTGTGGCAAATTAATTGCACTCGGTGTGAACAGGGAGGTGGAGGAAGTGCACAACAAGAACAAAATTGCATCTCATTTTCACGTGTATCAGGTTTGTTTTCTTTAATCATACTTATTATTTCACACCACTCATATCGCAGTACTAGTTGTTTTCTAAATTAATCGACTGCCATTTAACAAAATAAAACCTTGACAGTAAAGATTTGGGGCAAAAAGTGTTTTGGTATTTTTGGGAAGATCAAAACAAAATCATTAATGTTTAATTATTATAAACAAATTAAAGTCTTTTAAAAAATATTTAAAGTCATATTTTATATTCCCTTAAAAATACCCTCGTTTCTTTTGTAGGAAAAGTGAAACTAAACATTTTTATTGTCCTTTTTGATCCAATATGTATTTTCCTGTTGCTAAATTATGATTTTTCTTTATTATTTTTTTTTAATTTGAAAAGGAAAAGTGTGAAAGCTAATGTAAATTAACAAGCCTGGTTTAAGATGTTAACGTGTCATTGACGGCTTGTAAGAGAGCATCATTTGGTCCTTTGTGGTGTAACTAAAAGCTTTAAATATCAGATTAAAATTGACTCGTAAAAAAACACAAAAAGATTTGTGTTAGTGTTAGACGTGTGTAATCTGGAGTGTCAAACGTAACATTGCACACGCTGCACATAGCGTTTGCCTCAGAATAGCTTTTGTTTAAATAACCATGGGACTCTGTAGGTCTACAGTTTCTGACATATTCAGCCTCCAGGCAACAATTTTCCCCAGCAACACTTCACACACACATGTACAAACCCCAGGCTCGCCTATACTTCCTGATCATGGTGGATCCCTTTGCTGTCAGGCCTCACAATGTGTAATCCAAACGAGAGAGAGAGAAAAAAATCACATTCACCCACTTTACCTCACTTCCCCGTTTCTCCTCATGTCACTGCTGCACACTTCTTGGTTGATCAACGCTTCCACAAACCTAATCATCTGATGGCAAACAGTGACATCAGAATGTACTGAAGGGCCGTGCTGCTGAGCAGTTTAACACATGCACAACACGCTCACATCGGCATAAACGACATGCGAGCTTAGCCTCTCATTGTCATTTTTTTTAACTTTTATTTTTAGAACAATTTTAAAACATATTTGGGTTTGAGCTAAATGAATCTACACGCCAAACTGCAGTGTGTTAATAATTAAATAGAACAGAGTCTCACACTCGGCTTGCACTACCCCTGGTTACCAGAGAGAGGGGAAAAAAAGAGTTTCCCCAGTAACTATCTTCCTGCTTGACCACACACAACTAAAATACACAGATCATAGTGTGTTGGACACTAAATGATTATCACCTGAGTCCTCGGGTGATTAATGTATTTGAGTTTTTACCGGCCTGCGTGAGTTTTTACAGTAGGGTTTATCAGTGCTGTGCGATAATGTGTGACAGCGTGGACAGACTGGCCTTCGTTTATCTGCTTCTCTGTGTACACTGTTCCTAATCTCATTTCGCTTCCTGACTGACATGCTGATGACACGTCTTCTGAGAAACAGGGCCGCTCGAATAGTCTGACACCGTCTGTCGTGAGCGCAAACTCGAATCAGATCCCGCTAGATACAAATCACTTCTGAGAAACGAGGACCTGTTGTAAAGCCTTTCGCTCTCGGCTCTCTTGGGGCTTTTCAGGAGGGGAAAGATGCGGCCTGCTGGGTCTCCTGTCGGAAAACTGGCTTTCATTATGAATACCAGAGAAAACAATAACAAAAGCAGCTGCCCTTCTCTGTGAGGATCAAGACGAGATGATGAAAGGGTCACTCATCCTGCCACTGAGCAACTGGGTACTGTGTTTGGGTGTATCGTAGCTTTCGCTAACCTTTTGTGTAGTCACCATGGGATTAAGCCAGCATCAAAACTCAAGCTGGGACGCTTCTACTACTTGCAGTGGCTTAAATTATCGTTTTCTAATTTCTATTTACAGGCTGATCTGAAGGCCTCAGCCTGGCGTCATTGTAATTCCCCTAAACTAGTTAGTGTTTCTAAAAAATTTCACTCAGTTTCAGCAGAAGTGCACAAGTCCTCAGAAGTGTTCAGCTGTAGCATTGTTGTGTATGTCAGAGGCATCTGTTTACACACAGTTTGGACACTCACCAGTTAGCCAGGCAGCAGCAGAGGTCCACCATCCAGCGAGATCTCCAGCGGGTGCACTCAACGTGTTGGCATCAACAGGAGTCTGTTCACGGGCTCTCCCGATGTGTGGGTCACTTCACTCTGGAAAAATGTTGACCACCAGCCTCTCGCCTCTCCTCCTGTGGCTGCCTCTCTCTCTCTCTCTCTCTCTCTGTTCAGTCAGGCAGTACAACAAGTCAAGGCATGTTCCAACACGCCACCAACAGCCGGGCTGGATGTATGAGCCTGCACAGGGGGAGGAGCAGAGGATCAGAGAGGGGGGAAACCCAGAAAAGACCCAGCATGACTCAGCCTGCTTCGGTCAGTTAGCATAGCTTTCACTCTGAGCACTTTAACACATGAGTTAGTCTTCGAAGGTGCATTATGACTTATTCTGTGTGACATGCTTAAGTCATTTAAGTCAGAATCAGAGATGAGGAGATGCTCTAATGGGTGACGACCTGCCGAAAATGTGTTAGACAGAAAAGCGCTTTTTAAAAAACTGCTCTGACTTCCTGGCCCACGTCCTGGCCCCTTTTCACTTTCTGTGTCCTGCCGGTGGAAGCAGCTCAAAATGTCTCTGTCCCAACCTCCCAGTCTTTGTCAGCTGAAGCTGAATTTAGATTCAAGTAGATGAAATGTCTTTTACAGCGCTGCTGTTCACCCATGCTCTTATTAGCAGTTAGTCCTACTTAATCTTTAACACAGAAGAACAAATAGTTTATAGCATACTAATAAAAGATGCTGATTCATTAAATCTTCGTTGGGTTTTTTGTTTTGTTTTTCCCAGTAACTCAGCGGGTCACTTCAATTACAGATGAAGTCCGTCGGCATGAATTATGAAACTGCAAAAAATCACAGAGAACGCATCAGCAAAGATATGAAACGCTGTGAAATATTAGTTGCTTCCTGGAAAAGTGACATTTTTTAGTGAAATCAAAATTTCTAAACGGTTTATTAATGCAGCGAGAAAAGAAAAGGTGCAGTATACAAGTGTCCATTTATCTGCTGACACATTAAACTGCATTAAATGTGCAGAATCATCAGCATCCATGAGTGCTAATTATTCAAACCTGCTTTGCTGTTAGCTGTTTTTTTTTTTTTTTCCGTTACTAGAGCAGGCCTGATGCCGGTTCATCACTGCTGTAGTGGAAGTTGATCACTAGGCAGATTCTGGGAACAGCGGTAGGAGCCAGCTCAGCAAAACTCACCTGCTACTATATGGTCTGAGTTTGGCTGCCTGAGCATCTCTGAAGCTGCACTGTACATCAGTGCTGCTGCTCTTCACTGCAGCCTGTCAACAGACTGATGACCTTATCAATGAAAGAGCAAAGTCACCGCGATGTTACGCCCTGAAACAGCTCAAAGCACTTTCGGCTCGGCTCGGAGCCTCGTCTTTGCCCACCCCTTAACAGCAACTAGAGAGGCAGCTGCCGTTAGCTGCCTTAATTTATTGGAAGTGGTGTTGCGGCACCGCGCAGAAGTCTTTTCACAAAGTGCCGGCAGTAGTTTCACCAACTGACTTGGCCGATAATTTATGCAATTTACTCATGAGTGAAATATGGGTAACCGCTGACGTAGCCCCCCTTACTGGAACGTATCCCTGCACTTCAGTGCAGAACTGTAGTTATTCATCCTCCTACCTGCAACAGACTGCAGCTGAAGCCTCAGATTTGCA